TGAACCCACTTGCCTTCACCTTTGCGCCGCCTGGCAATCAAACTTGCATTGATTTGATGCTACTTTTGCCAAGTGCAGTGGCTGTCTGCAGCCTTCCACGTCCTTTGCCATTGCCCTTCCCTTTCCAGGACCACTCGCCGTAGCCTCATGGAATTATTAACATGTTTTGCCCCGCATTTATTACTATTATTGATACTATTGACTATTATTGCTTTTCATTATTAGTACTATTATTATTACTGTTTCTACTATCTTTACTATTATTATTACTATTACAATTAGTACTACTCAAGAAAGCTCTTCCCGAGGCCAGCAGCCCGATTTCCCTCCGCTCCACCCCTGGCGCAAGGAAACTGTGAACAGCCTAAACCCTAAATAGTAGCTTCCATTTTCTTTTCCATTATTCCTATATATCCCCTGTATAACCCCTATAGAGAACCCTTATAGATCCCACAATTTCATAGCCTGCAGGTTGACGCGCACAACTGTCCACTCACGTCTTGGGGGCAGGCTTCCTCGTTGTAGGGACGACGGTCCCATCCTCAATGTGACATTGGCTTATTGTTCCGACAGGCCAGAATGACTCGTTTGGGATCCAGGCTCTCTGGCTCCTCCCGCTGTGGCCTGAGACTGAGAGCTCAGATGCAGCCTACGCAGCCTACTGATTGGCCAGTCCAGCCTGCTCGCAGCAGACGGCACAGCAGTATCCTAACAGGCTTCGTTCAGGGGACTGGGCGCAGCAACTTGTGGAGGTTAGCAAGAATCACAATCACAATTGGCAGGCAGCTTCTTTGGAGCTCGACAGCAGATCTCCAGCCAACTCAGAACGACCACAATGTACTCTCGTCATGCTGGAGTGCGACCAGCAGGCGTCTGATCAGAGTCTCTGACTGCAGACGCCATACACTCAAACTGTGAGCTGCATTCACATGCAAAGGTGCGCTGCCTTGTGCAGCATTCATTCCACTATGTCTCCAGCTCACTTCGGCTAGGCCCGAAGGAGACTCAGTCTGACCAAAGACTTGCCTTTCTGGATCGCTGCAGCTGGAAGAAACGCGACTTTCCTGCATCAGCACTCCTCGATGCAGCGCGGGCTGACGCTTTTCAGATGAATAATGATGCCGGCAGCCGAGCAAAAAATGACGTGGGTAGCAGACAGTAGTTGTCCGATATGTTCTGCGATCAATCAACAGACGTGAACCCCAAAGACGAACCGCCATGAAGGTATCCGGACACCATGCAGGCCGTCAAATCATCCATCAGCATAGACAGACTGGATTAGCGTCGGGCTCACATGGACCTGCCATCGCGGCCAAGGGTCAGGACTGGATTTTCAGCTTCCTTGCCTCCATCCTCAGTTGTGCTTGAAAGGTCCGCGAGGGTATCCTCTGGAGGTTGTTTCTGAAACTACTGGGTTGCTGTTAAGGAACTTAATTTAAGTTGCTATATCGGGGAAACTCTGTTATTTACTATATACATATATATATACCCATTATGGTAACAACCCAGACTACTGTTGCGATTTGTTGCGATATGATCGGAAAATTGCAAGAAGACAAGCTGCGAGATGCCGCATGACCATGCTCTTCTCTCCCTGCTTTGCCCGGTTCACGAACTCCTCCAGCATATCATAATAGATTATAGTATATTATAGTCTATAATAGTATATTATAGTATATTATAGTATATTAGGGCATATATTGGGGTTATATAGGGAGAATGGGAAAGAAAATGGAAACTCCTCCAGAGTCACTTCGGCGTGCAGAGTTGGCCTGGCGCGAGCACATTGCCAATGAGCAGTCGATCATTCCATCCGTCAGTCAAAGGATGGTAACATGGACAAATGGAAAATGAAATGGAAACTTGGGATACATAGCGGTTAATCTGGATTCCATTAAAATCCAATTTTCAGCGGAGTGGATACTGATCTGACGAGCTACATGTCTGCAGTTGGAGCGGATTACATGGACTGAAGCAAGCATGTCCCGTGCCTTGCAGGCTCAAAGCAGTCACTGAGAAAGGCGCTTGTACTGGCACCTGCGATCAGATCGCAAAAAGCCGCCCTCAAAGTGCTTCCCTGTTCTACGTATTACTAGTCATACTTTTGGCTGTTTTTACGATGATTACCGTTTGATTGCTATGATGACTTTGATGACCATGATTACTGTTAGTAGTTTTAATCATATGGTGGTTTCCCACAATTTGGGGTACCTTTTTGGGGTTCCTATAATAAGGATTGTAGTATTTTGGGGGTCTATATTGGGGTTCCCTTGTTTTGGGAGACTACCTAAACCCTAAACCCTAAACCCGAAACCCTAAACCCTTAACCAATTTGGGAAACTACCATATTACTGATATTATAACAAGGAACCACTAAACCCTAAACCCCAAAGCTTAAATCCTAAACTACCATATAGGTGGTTGTCAAAATTATAGTCCCTTTTTGGGTCCCTATTATAATACGGCACCTAATATTTAGGGTACCCGAAAAGGGCCCATAGTTTTGACAACCACCCATATTACTGATACTATAACAAGGAGCCACGTGACTCCGCTGCCTTGCCTTGCACCCGGGAGCTGCGCATGGCACCCGAATCGGTGGAGCTCAACTGCAAGGCGAGCTCATGTCCTGACGCAAGGATGCAGTTTAGGATTTAGAGTTTAGGGTTGAGGGTTTAGAGTTTTGTTCAAGGATTTAGGGTTTAGGGTT